AAAGGGGTACTAAGCTGTTCTAACTGCAAGGCCAGCTGGACAGGCATGTATCGATCATAAAGATACTTTTAAGATAATAGTACAAGTCACATAGCAACCAATCATGAGCTTGGCTTTTGCAATATGTATGAGCTAATTAACGAACATATATAAACTGTGTAATCTGTTACAATAAACTGAGACTTGATGATCATGATATCATGAGTCTTGTCTCCCGCGGCATTCCCTCTAACAGCTGATGTTGAAGGAGATGGGAGATGACATGAAACCTCTTCCCACACACGGAACAATCACAGGGCCTCTCCCCAGTGTGGATCTTTTGGTAGACAATCAGGGTGGCACGTTGCCTGAAGCTCTTCCCACATCCCCCACACTTGTATGGCCATTCCCCAGAGTGGATGTTCCAGTGCTGGATCAGGTTGGAGCTCCAGCTGAAGCTCTTCCCACACTCCAGGCATATGTGGGGCTTCTCTCCATCATGAGCTTACTCATGGACCACCAGCTCCAAGCTCTGTCTCCATCTCTGACTGCCTCCCCGGCCCAGGTTGGGTCTTTCCTCCTCAGATCCCTGCGATCTGTGTTTGCAGCCCCTCTTCATGCGGGATCTCTGGGGCTTTTGCCTCCCTGTTGGGTTCCTGCACTGTGGAGCCACTCAAAATGGCCTCTTCTATGAGGTTTTGCCACGGGGATTTGTCCTCCCTGGTCTTCATCTTCTTCTCCTTCTCTGGGGGAGGAAGGACAGGGAGAGGATGGGATTATATCCGTGCCACAGGGAAGGGGAAGGAGATCCCCCCAGTGCGTCCCAGGCAGGAGGGCACCGGCAGCAAGGCTGTCCTGCAGCCGGGGGCTGTGCTGGGCTGGGAGATGGAGCAGAAGAGAGGGGGAAAGGGGTACTGACTTCCTCCTCACCTGCCTAGGGGAGCCTTGAAGACTGCTCTTCCATCCGGCCAATGGTTGGGAATGGGAAATCCTGGTTTGGGAAAAACAAGGGATGAGCACATTGAGTTTGAAGATCCCTCTGCCCAAGTTCATCTCTAGAAGTCAACGGCCACCTGGACTCCATAAAAGTCTCCCAAACACCAAGATTCAGCCCTCAAAACCCTCCCAGGTGTTCCCTGTCCCTGGTCCCTCCCCTTTGGTGTTCAGGGGTTCCCCCCTCTCCTAGCTGCTGGAGATCACACTTGTATTAGGGGTCCCCCCCTCTTTACTTGGTCCTCACCTTCCCCAGGCTGCTGGGGGTACCAGCAATCCCAAAAGCTCCCCCCCTTTGGACTCACCATCTAGGAATGCTGGGGATTTTTGAGCTCCCGGGGTCCCTTCTCCTCTTATTCTCTGCTTTGGGGTTCAGGGACTCCCAGGAGTCCCCCCTGCCCCTCTCCAGGCTGTTGAAGGTGTTGCCAATGGCAGTGCTCACCCCTCTCTGGGATCCCCACTTTGGGCTCCTGGGGGACACAGGTCTCTGCTCCTCCAGGCTGCCTCTGACAGCAGCTGCCACCGTGACCCCCCAGTGTCCCTTCAAGGGGCCTTTTCTGCTCAGCTTTTCAGTTTTTCATTCTCCAAACGTCCACCCCAAAAAAACCCAACCCACAGAGTCCCCAGGATATCAGGGCCAAGCTCCCCCCTCCCTATTCACCTGCTGGATGGGGCAGGGGGGTGATGATCTCACAGGTGCAAATTCAGGGAGCACTCGACCTCATGGTTCCTTCTCATTTCCTTGATCCGCCTTTGTCCTCTTACTCTTCCCCTTCCCCTTCCTCTTCCTCTTCCACCCTTCCTCCTCCTCCTCCTCATCCTCCCCCCTAATCCCACCTTCTTCTCCTCCTTCCATCCCTTCCGGCTGTCCTTCTTCATCCCTCCCCTTCCATCTCCCCCAGGAGCAGTGACACCACACTGGGAACAGCTTAGGCCCATGCTGGGAGCCACTGGGATCACTCTGACTGGAATCATGCTGGGATTGACCAGGAGCAACTGGAATGGTCCTGAAAGCAACTGGGAAGAAGTGGGAATTATTGCTGGCCAGGAGTCTCTGTATAAATCACGAATGGGATGGGATGGCTGTGGAAAGCATCTTGAGGTTTTTATTTGCTGGAAGCAACTGGGATAAACTAGGAGAGACAGTGATCATACTGAAGGGCCCTAGGATCATGTTGGCATTGACAGGGAGAAACTGTGATCACACTGGGGCCACTGGCATCATACTGGGAGTGTCTGGGAGTAACTGGGATTAGACTTCAAGTGACAGGGGGTGGCTACAATTATACTGGGATTAGAGTGGATGCAAATGGATCCTGACTGGGAGGTACCTGGAGATACTGGGCCCATGTTGGGAGGAAAATGTGGACATACTGGGACCAACTGGGATCAGCTAGAAGGTACTGGAACCATGCTGAGAGGACTGAGACCACAACTGGGCCAACTGAGATCATACTGGGAGCAACTGGGACCGCACTTTGGGCAACTGTCAGAAACTGGGATCATGCCAGAGGCAACTGAGAGTAACTGGGAAAGACTGGGATCATTCTGAGGTAAATAGAACCTTACTCAGGTGTGGAGTTGCGTTATTTGTATGTTTTATTATCCCTGTATTATGTATTGGTTTATTCCTTTGTACCCCCGTGTGCAACTTGGTTTATCGCCAGTTTTCCCGCCTTGTCCTCCCTTCCCGCCTTTCCAGTATCTATCCATCACCCTGAAAGAGGCATTTTACCCCCGCCCCGGGTGCCTTGTCTATCACTCGGTGCCCCTTCCCATCCATCCAGAAGCTTCTACTCAGGGCACCGGGTGATTGGGCGAGGACCTGGGGCTCCCCCCATATCCTTCCCCCATTGGACCACGTTGTATCACCCCATCCCGGAGCCACTCCCTATCCCTATCCCCATCAGTCGTTGGTTACCCCTCCCTTACAGTTTATAAGCCAGTGCAAGCACCTTGTGCTTGTTCCTGTTGGCTGGCACCGTTCTAGGATATTTGGCCCCGTTGGGCTACAATAAACTTGGACTTAGCCCCCAGCAGGATCCGCTCTTCATTTACCACCGCGAGGCTTGCTAGCGCTGCCCGGAACCCACAAAGGCACTCTCCAAACCCCAGCTGGGAGCGGCGGAGGGTGCCTCAATCGCCCGCCCTCGCCCCAGGACGAGCTAGCCGGGGCTGAGATCAGGGAACCGGGGCAGGAGCACGGCATTCAGGCAACTGGGATACACTGGGAGTGTCTATAACCATGTTGGAGGGACAGAACCACACTGGGAACAGCTGGGATCATGCTGGGGTCAACTAGAACTGCATTTGGGGCAACTAAATTCATACTGGGGGCAACTGGGCATGACTGGGACCCTGCTGAGAGGGACTAGGACTATTCCAGGGGCAAATGAGTGCAACTGGTATCATACTGGGATCACACTGGCAGCATCTGGACCCATGCTGGGTTAGACTGGGCTCACACTGAAGGTGACTGGAATCATGCTGGGATTACTGGGACTGGCTGTCAGCAACTGGGAGGAAGTGGGAGTGACTGGGTGCATGCTTGAGGTGACTGGGATAAACTGGGATAGGCAGGGAGTCACAGGGATCATACTTGAAGCTACTGGGGTCGTGCTGGCATTGACAGGGAGCAACTGAGATCACACTGGGAGCACTGGCATCATACTGGGAATGTTTGGGTGATGCAAACAATTGGAGTTTTTAGCTAGCTCTTTAAGAACACCAGCAGCCACACCGAAGTGTATGGAACACCTCCTGGATAAGTCCATCAGGAGCTGAACTTCAGAGCTATGGCTCTGCAGTGGGATTAGCTTTACCAGCAGCAGGGAGAAAAGTAAGAGTCAAAGGATACTCTCTGCCTGATATTCTAGCAGTTCTTTAATCCAGAGATTCAGAAATGAAAAGACCCAAAGCACCCCCCTACAATGGTTTATAAACAAGCTAAAACCAGTGGGCAGGTACAAACAGACAGCAAATGGGATAACCTTAGGGGAGGAGTAAGGGGTGTGGATTACAGAGCAAGTTCCAATGAGAGACAAGGGAACAAGAAAGGGGGGTGGTTTATATCAGGAGTGGATACAATTTAAGGAGAAACCAACTTGGAACACAGGAAAGGATTTGGAAGCAATCATTATCAGAGAACCTGGATTACAAAACTGAAAACTGGGGTAAAAAAAAACACTAACCAGAACATCTCCTCCTATCTTTTTCAAAAAGAGGAAGGACTGGGGTTACACTTTGATTTTGGGCGTAACTCATACCACCATTGAGGTGGGAGGCTTAGTATTCCTTAGTATCAGGGCTATTGACATTGGGGTTCTCAGGGTCAGGACAATCAGGGGTCTTGGTAACAATAATTTCAGGAGAAAAGTTGAGGTGTGCGGCAGTGGAAAGACAACTATAGCAAAGGATATTACAATAAGGAAAATAATTACAATAAACCAAACAATAGATTTAACAATGGAAGAGATCCACCCAGTCAACCCCCACCCTGAGAAGATGCTTCCCAGCCAGTCCTCTGATTCTTTTTTTATGTCAGTTATTAGTTCTTGCATTTTTCGCAGGGATGCTTGGATGTCTGGTGCCTTTGATGTTAAGTTGAAGTAGCAGAGACCTTTGAATGCTTAGCATTCATGTCCATGCAGCAGCTGCCTGATTTTGTAGGGTAGCTTTCCTAGTGATTTCTTTGTCTGCTAGAAGGTCACTGATTGTGGTTGTTGTTAAAGCTTGTTTCACTACCTGATGCTCAAGGCAGCCCAATTCCCCATGTGCTTTAACAACTGCAACCCATTGTAAAAATAAAGAGATTGCAGCTCATTTTAGCTTAGACCAGTGAATAATTTCTGGTTCAGTGTTTGTCTAAATTATCAGTGCTTCACTTTTGGATTCTCTAATTGCTTGTCTGTTGCCAATTCATAATTTGGGTTTGGTTGGGTGCGAACACGACAACCACCCAAATGTGCACAGACCTCCAAGCAGACAAGAGGGGATACCTGCCCATGCTCTATCCCTAGAAATGAGAACAGCACCTTTTTCTAGTCTCTTTGGTTGGTGGTCCTCTGCGGATGCCATCTTAACATGCTCAATCTTCTTGCACCCCTGTCCTAGGGCGACGTTATGGTGTTTGTATCCCCAGTCGTGTGTTCTGTTTATGTTTGATATTACGCTCTGAGCTTTCAGAACTGACTCTGAAAGTGAAGGTTTGTTTTGTCTTGTTATCAACCAGCTCACCTCCCACCATGGTCTGTTGTCTAGAAGAGGCTAGTGCTGGCTGGCTTGCTTTTGCTTTGCTTGCTGGCTTTGCTTGCTTGCTTTGCTTCTGCTTTTGCCTTTGCTTTTGTTTGTTAGTTTAGCTAAGCAGTCAATTTTTTTTTTCCCCTGGACTGTTTTTTTTTTCCCTTTCCCTTCCCTGAATATCATTCCAACCTGCTCCAGACTGGGACCTGGGAAACACTGAGGAACACCAATATCCTGCGTTTTGCAATCTGCAGCAGCCATCCCCAGTGCCAGAGAGCAATTCCCAGTGCCCAGACACGGGCAATCATTGCTAAGAGAGACTTTCTGGATTTGACATCTCTTCTTGAGAGTGGTGAAAGAGTTTTGGTGTCATCTGGTGTTGTTCATTTTTTTGGTGCTGGGGAGTGATTTGTTTGTTAAATAAACATGTTCTTTCCACTTCTCTCCAAGGACATTCTTCCCGAACCAAGTGAGGGGGAAGGGCCATGGGAGTTTGTTTTCTGGGGGCTCCTTCCAGAGGTTTTTCTCCCAAATTTGCCCTAAACTAGGACAAATACTTTGGTGCCCAACTCTTGGCTCTAGAGAGTGGAAAACAACATGTTCTAATCATATTTTTGTTCCAATTACTTTGTGTTGGTATGGAGCAGTTACTGGTTATGTTGTTTGAATTCATAGTGTCTCTTGGGGTGAAGGCCTGCATGTGTTTCTGATCCCTAGGGTTTTTTGAGATCTTAATCCCTCCATGGTCCCTAGGTT